TATGCATGTGTCAGTCATGGCACCCCCACACACCAGGTGCATGTGTGTGGTTGTATGTGTGCGGTGCCTCATGAAAGTGCAGTCTGTCTGGGTGCAGTGTGGACAGGGTACAAGTATAACCCACTCAATTGCTCGTGTGTGCCGATAAAACACCAGGTTCAGTCATAGAGTGCTAGAAATGGCAGACATGCTCAGTCAGAAAGATAACACATACCGAAGCCTTGCAGAGCTTTCCACAGGGGCCATGTGACAAAGGCCCACTGAGACTCCTTCACACTGGGACGTCAAGGAGGGCACTGAGCAGAGACCTTGCCAGCCTGCAAAGACTAGGAGCAGTCCCCTCCAAGAAGAAAGAGGAATAGTAAAAAAAAAAAAAAAATTCCCTAAGCCAAGCTAATGTAGGGATTCATGGTTGGAAAAGAAAGTGGGAGATGACTTGTGGGTTAAGGTGGTGGGCCAAACGTAGAGGCTACATCATGAAGCATTTGGAAAGGCTAGAGGGGAAAACTGGGCCTTTAGTTTTCTAAAAACTATTTATTATTATTTTATGTGTGTGAGTGTTCTGCCTGCATATATGTCTGATTCCCTGGTCCCCATGGAAGCCAGAAGAGGATATTTGATCCCCTGGAACTAGAGTTACTGATGGTTGTGAGCCACCATGTGGGTGCCAGGAATTGAACCCAGTCCTCTGGGAGGGCAGCCAGTGAGCTTAACTGCTGAACCCTCCTCTTTCCAGCCCCCAAGATTAGAATTTTATTCTAGGTATAATGAAAGCCAGGTAGCAGCGGATAGAGGCTGTGAGCTACCTGTCTGCTGGGCTGGGGCCTGGGTGGGGTTAGTGGGGGAGCTACCTGTGGGGTTTGTGGTTTGAGAGTAGCAGGCTGGAGCTCTCGGGAGCTTTTGCATCAATTCTGGTAAAAAGTGCTAGTGGCTTGGGCAAGGGTGGCATCAGTAGAAGTGTTAGATGTGACCTATACTGTGGGGGTAGAGGTGACAGGCAGGGGCGAGGGAGGGGGATGGAAGGCAGGAACCAAGCTGTAGACTGCAGCCTGAACATCAAAATGAATTATGGTGGCATTTACTGGGAGGAAGAAGCAGAAGCAGATCTCTGATGAGCAATCCATCAGGTGTGATATGTCTCAGGGTGTGTATGCATCTGTGTTCATCTATGCCAAAATCTAGGTGTGCATGTGTGCTCCGGGATCCCTGAGCAAGCCGAAGACATCTGGGTCACTTCTGCTTAGATGTCTGGGGGCTCTTGGGTCTATCCTGGGACCAAGCTCTATCTTGGCTCTTAACCCTCCTCCAGCCCCAAGGGCTCCCCCTGCCAGGTGGAGAGCCCCTGCCAGGTGGGGAGCCCCAGTGGTAAGCTGGGGTAATGAAAAGGCCCTTGAGCTTTACCAACATCTGTGCACATTACCCTAGGCCCAGGAGGCTGTGGTAGCCCCACCCGTAGCAGCAAGCGGGCTCCAGGGCAGCTGGTGGCGATTAGCAGCGTTGATTACCTCGTGGCGATGCCATCTGGGGTGAGGGCACCGAGCCCAGTCCCATGGGATATCCTACTTGCTCATGTGTGGGACTTCGTGGGGCTGACTGAATATAAATGTGTCGGCAGAACTGCATACACATCTGAGTGTATGCGCATATCTGTGCATGCCACAATTCTGCAGGTATCTCCGCTGACATAGTGGACATGTCTGCGTTTTTATATGTATGCCTGTGTACACACATGTCTATGTACATATACGTGCCTGTGTGTGCACACTCAAGTCTATACAATTTTTTTTTCAGTCCTGGGGAGTGAGTCTAGTCTTGTGTATGAAACTGCTCTGGGGGATGTATTAGCCTTCCCAGCCCTTTAAAAAAAAAAAAAAACAACCTTTGAGACAAGTTCTGGCCTTGAACTCGCAACCTTTCTGTGTCACACTCCTGGGTAGCTGGGGATTACAGGTGTATACTACTTCTCTTAACCCCATATATACTCTGAGAAGATGCACCTCTTTGTGTTTGGATGTATACAGGAATCTCATGGGTCACATCTGTGTGTGCGCTTGGGTCTGTGTGAACACGAGTGTCTATAGATGCATGTTCGGTGAGCACACACAGGGGCTGTGCACACATATCAGAGTGAAGAGATCCATGAGCTAATCTCTACACTGATGACGGGCCCAGTCGGAGGGTGCTCCCTAAGGTGGGTTGTTCTTTTTGTGATTGTTTTGGGGTTTTTTTTTTATGTTTTTTGTTTTGTTTTGTTTTGTTTTTGACCCAGGGTTTCTCTGTGTAGCCCTGGCTCTCCTGGAACTTGCTCTGCAGAGCAGGCTGGCCTTGAACTCACAGAGATCCCCTACCTCTCTCTGCCTTGGAGTGTTGGGATTAAAGGCGTGTACCACCACTGTCTAGCTGGTTTGGTGGTTCTTATGAGCACCTCTGGGGTGCTGCAGGAAGGTCTCTAGACATCACTCTCTCAGGTTCCTGCGTCTGTGACTCTGAGAGCCCTGGCGCAGGCACGAGGGGGTGAAGGCTGAGCATGGTCAGGACGGCACAGGGTGTGCTCATTTCTGCTACTCAGGTTTGCTGGTCATGGTCTCCGCTTTACCACCAATGGGTTATGTGATGCTAGACAACTTGTTCCTGTCCTCTGGGTTTCCCTTCAGCCAATGAGGTGAGGTGTGAACACTGCCCCCTGAGGTGTTCTGTGAACCTGACTAGTGTATGTTCCTTCTTTTCCCTGCCCAAAGCTGGGCAGCGCTCCATTAGCAACCCTGTGCAGGCCCAGCCCTCCCGACAGAGCTACTGAAAGCCCCACCTCCTACACTTCCTGTTTGCTGAGCTCAGCGCCTCGTAGGCCCTACCGCTGCTACCACACATCTGGGCCCAAGGCTCCGTGAGGGGACCACAGTGGGGCGCCTCCATGGCGAAGCAGCTTGGTTAGGGTTTCCACTGACTCAGCACCTCCAGGGGTGGAGGTGGGAAATCCCAGGCCTGTCATGGCGGGTCCGCCTGGGTTAGATGGGGCCACAGGTTCTCTACCACCTACTCTGAAGAGAAGCCCGTCCTCAGGGATGGAGGCTCTTTAGTGGCTTCCTTTCTAACCCCAATGTATACCCTACAGCCGCTTCGCTTCCTCCTCTGAAGTTCATCCAGACTCCATTGTTTTTGCCTCTTTAGACCCTGGGTACAAAGAAAACCTTCCTGGCCCTTAATGGCAACCCCCACTCCCTACAGACCCTGTCCTCGACAGAGGACCCCAGTAATGAAAATTGCAGCAAATATCTCTCCTCTTATGTGCCAGACCGGCTAAGCATTCTCACAGATGTTAATGAGTTTCCTTTAACAAAGCTACACGGGCAGCTGCCGGCATCTCATCTCACAGATGTGCAAATGGAATTAAAGATTAAAAAGTAGATTTGAACCAGGCCTGCTGGTCCCAACTGCTCAGGAGGCTGAGGCTGGAGGGTTGAGAGATCTAGGCCTGGCTGGGTGTGCTGGTGTGCCAGTGCTTTTTAGTTTCAGTGCTCTGTAACCAGAGGCAAGGAGGAACTCTGTGAGTTCAAGGCCAGCTTGGTGTACAAAGGGAGTTCCAAGACAACCAGGGCTACATAGTTAGAACTTACCTTAAAAAAAGAAAGTTCTAGGTCTGCTGCTGCTATAGATCAGCTCAAGGCCAGCCTGGGCAACTTAGTGAGTGGTCTGGTTTGTTTGTTTTTGAGACAGGGTTTCTCTGTGTAGCTGTGGCTGTCCTGGAACTTACTCTGTAGAGCAAGCTGGCCTCGACTCACAGATATCCACTTGCCTCTGCCTCCTGAGTGTTGAGATTAAAGGCCACAGGCGGACACCACCAGGCATGTGTGTGTGTATACCTGTACAAATGTACACATCACACACATGTATATTAGTATATGTGCACGCCTCTATATCGCAAAGTGCACATCACCATACCACAAAGGTTAAGGGGTAGCTCAGTGGGAGAGCATTAGGCTAGACTATGCAAACTCTATGTTCAATATCCAGATTAAAAAAAAAAAGTTTAAGGGCCATCCATGGAGACGGCTCCTCGGGTAAAGGTGCTTGCCACCAAGACTGACAAACTTGGCATGATTCCCCCAGAACCCGTGTCGTGGAAGGAGATAACTAACTCCACGGATTGTTCTCTGACTTCCACACATACAACACGGCATTTACAACTATGCCTGTGTACACGTTCTTGCGCGTATACATACAAAATAAATTAAGTTTTTAAAAGGTCTCCTTAAAATCATAAAGCTGGAGCAGGGAGCAGGGAACAAGGATCTGAGCTTTCCCAACCTCCTGGAGTCCAAGAGCACTCCCTGAATCTACTTCTGTGGAAATGAAGACAGAGCAGAAGGAGTTAATTTAGCACAGGGTTGGGGAGTGGTGCTCTATCCCCTCCTCCCAGAGCAGACTGAGATTCTACAGCCTAGGAATGCTAGGCCCAGGCACTGGAAAAAGCTGACCACTGAGGCTTGGTCAGCAGCCACGTCGCGGGATCCACGACTATGGAGGAGGGTCCCTAGCCCTCTCCAGCTTTCTGGGGTCTCAGCCAAGGAAGCAGGGGCTGGGCACGAAGGAGGTTCCATAAACCCCCGGCCTGATTCTGGGCACGCCTAGCTTGGCCTCCCTCCTGCCAGCCAGCCAGCCGCAGGCGCCCCTTCCAGGGCAGCTCTGGGCACGCAGGGTCCCGCCTTGCCCCGCTCGCCCGCGGGCTCACCTGGCTGGGAAAGCGGGACGGGCGGGCCTGGGCACAGGGCCAGGCCAGGAGCGCAGCGGTGCAGCTCAGTGGCCAGCGCTCAGGCAGCAGCCGAGCCCTCGCGGCCTCCCTCCTCCTCCAGCCTGGCGGGCCGACCCAGCTGTGTTCCATTAGCCTCTTGGCAGGCCCCCAGTCCCTTGGAACCGCCCTCTTCCCTCTCCAGGAGCTGCCGGCAGTCCCGGCAGGCGTGCGCTGCGCTGCGCTCAGTCTAGAGAACTCAGGACGCGGAGAAGCTGGGGACAGCGCAGACTGGCAGAGAGATCGAGGATCCCCCTGTAGGCCTCGGACTCCTGGCCCTGCTTCCCACAGCTGGTAGCCTTGGGGCTGCCAGGATTGCTCAGTGAAGGGCTCCCCGGGCCGTTGGTAAGTGGGCCAGCACTGGGCTGCCTTCTCCCTCTGAGCTGAAAGGGCATTTTCTGCTGCTGACTTGCTCTGTGACCTGGGACAAGTGGCAAGCCCTCTCTGAGGGCCTCAGGGCTCTTCTCTGCGGTGGGGTGATCTGGAAACTCTATGCTGGTCCTTCTGTCTCTGCCTCCATCTGTGACCGTGTTGAGGGGGGCGGGGTCTCCTTGGAAGCATCTCTCTAGTGCATCCCTACAGCCCTCCACTCAGTCTGAGGCCTGGGAGTGGGAACCAGAAGTGAACATGTCGAGCACATCTATGTTCATGCCTCCACATGCACCCACATGCTGCTCAGAGCCGGCTACCTTTCCACTGGCTGTCAGGAAGGGAAGGTCAGGCTAGGGTTAGAGAGTGGGAGTTGCACACCCCTAGGATGGGAGATGACTGCATTTGGGGCACAGATCCATCCCAAGAGTCCAGCCCCATCCATACACATGCACACACGCACTCACGCACTCAAACACACACACATTGCATGAAGGCATCCCTTCATTCTGTATCCAGCAATAAAGGAGAGACGTTAGCATGACACTGTACAAATTGGACTTGCCTAAGAAAGTACCAGCAGAAGAGCCTCCTGGAGGGATGCTCATAGGTTGGCTCTGGACAGGCACATGCATGTAAACTCTGGGCTTATCAGTTCTCATGTCTCTTAGCACACCTGCCCACAGGTAGGTTTGATCGCATAGTCCTGGCACCTATGTGCCTATATGTGTTGTACCGACACACATGGCTTTGTGTGCTCACTATCTGCCTGTCCTGGAAGGGGCCAGATGATATATGGCTCTGCTGGCCACTTGCTGAGCCTGCATTGATTTATCTGGGCCCATCCATCAGGGTTTAATAAAACGAAAAGACGAGCATCCATCAGCGGGAGAGGTTGGCAACAAGGTCCTGAGCCCTGGTGACCTGCTCTCCCGCCCTTGTACACACAAGGGGAAGCTTTCTTGGCCCATACACAGCCCTGTGAGCCCTGCCAAGAGACTCAGTCCAGTCTTCAGCCCCTGATCTTGTGGGTGCCTGGCAGGGCTACCTGTGCTCGGCTGAGAACAGTTCTCACAGGTATGGGGCCACTGTGCGCCAGTGCAGAACACAGCTGTTAAAGCTCTGGGATTCATCCAAGCATTTTGATAAATTACCTCTGTGCAAGGCCCCTCGCTCTCCCTGCCTCTGTGGTCTTTTAGAACCCTCTAGACCTCTTCTCAACCCAGCGGTGAGCTCCTGACACAGCCAGAAGCTGCCTGAGCCTTGCTTCTGAGCTTCAGCCAGTCTTGTGCTCAGGCTGGTGGGTGTCTGGGGCATACCGGTGGTTAAATATTTTCTTTATTACCACTGCCCAGATTCTCACCCCAGGCCTGTGTGGGGCCCCTGAGAGGAACCAACACCAAGCCCTTACCCCTGCAGTCCCTGGTGCGTGGGGCCCACAGAAGGCTGTCACTAATCCACACTTTTGGGCACCCTGAAGCCCACCCCCCCATGTCTCTGGTCGTCAGGTGACGAGGCTGCAGCTGATCTCACTGGACCAGCATGTTGGCATCCTGGACTCCTGGCCTGTGGGTGCTTGGGCTATGGGCCACCTTCAGCCATGGGACAAATCTAGGTGAGCGGACACAGGCCTACATCTGGCTCCCTGAGGTTGCACATGTGTGACCATGTATATCTCAGTCATGTGTCATTTATGGGCAAGTGTAGGGTAGGAGCTCAGGGTAGCTCAGGTAGTGTTTACATACTTGAGCCTGTGGGAGTGAGCTGTGTGTGTGTGTGTGTGTGTGTGTGCATCTTGTTTCTGTGTATCTCTGGTTTTGCAACTTGAGAGGCTCAGTACATGCATGTGTATGTCCTCCTGGGTCTCTGAGTGGTGGTGGTGGGGAACAGGCTCCCTCTGCAGCACGTCCCCCTCTGAAGCACGTCCTTGCATTTCTTGCTGTCTAGCAAGATGGGAAAGAACAGGGAACTATACTCTCCCTACAAAAGGCAACACTTCCGGAAAGCTGCCCAGCCCCTCTGTTCCTTCTCATGGTCGTGACTCCATCCTCCAGGCATAGGCTCCTCCTTTGCACCAGCCTGGATCTCTGATGACTGCCCACCCTATGGCTCAGCCTCTGGAGAGGGAGAGGGTACAACTTTCCAGGGCCCACAGCCAAGGGAAATTGACCAGGCAATCTGCCTGGCCTTGCTGAGTGCCCTCTGGGCTCGGTAGCAGTATCACCTAGCCAGGAAGGAACCCAACTATTAGGGCCCAAGTCCAGGCATCTGGGGTGTGTGAGACTGCTATTGTATGCGCATGTATGTTTCTGTGTGTGTGTGTGTGTATACACACACACACACACACACACATGCGACATGCGTGTGTTTCTGTGTGTGTATTGAGAGATTGAGAGATTTTTCCCTCCTCTCCCTCACCGGGTCCCCTAGAGGGCTTGGGGCAGAGGATTTCAACATCTGTAAGGAATCTGGGCCCATTGCCAAGGGTGAGTCACCCATTGCCTCGGAGATGCTCAAGACAGTGATGGTCTTTCCGGCCAGACTTGGGGGTGGAGATTCCAGTGGGTCACTGTGCCCAGGGACACAGAGCTCTATCTTTCAACTAGGCTGGGCAGGGAGTTGGCTTTCTCCTGGAAGGAAGGAGACTTGACTGGCTTGGCCCAGCTTTCCCATCAGCTTTGCTGGGAAGGCCGTTTGATCTTAGCCCCTGTCTGTTTGATGTAGCACCTCCGTCAACATTTCTGGTCCCAGGAAGGGAGACACAGCCTCAGGGAGAAGGAGGCTCATAGCCATCAACCTGTACCTTTGGGACTTTAGACATGTGCCCTTGTTCAAAAGCTGAGATGGCTTTAATATGTCTTGTCTGGAGCCTAAGGCTTGATGATACCCTTGAGCTTGCGGTCCCCTCAGCCTCCCTGTCTGATTCTTTTTGTTGTGTCACTAGCTGAGTATGCAGGGGAAAAGCCATTGGATTTTCTACTTTCAATATGGGACACAGAACACCACCCATTGCCTAGGACATGTGTGCCAGTGCACGTGGCAGCCTTGGGGGCATGGGTGTGCATAGCTTATTCGTGTATAGTCATGTACACACCATTGCACGTAACACCCAGGGTGCCCAGAGCTCTTTTCCTCTGTCCCTACCGAGGCATAGCACTTGGAGAAACATGTGCGTATGCACGGCTCCCACTGTGGGCTCTGCACCACTAGTGTTTCTTGTTTCTTTCGCCCCCGTCATAGCCCCCACCCCAGCTGGGGTCCCTGGGGCTCTGGTCCTGTTCTGCTGTTGATTTACTCAGCAGCTTTGGAGCAGGTCACAAGTCTCAGCCCTCCCTGTGCTGGATTGTTCCTATGCAGCCAGGCTCAGAGGCCAAGTGTGAGCACAGCCTCAAGGCAGACTAGGTTAAAGGTCCAGAAGGAAGATTATGGACATGTCCCCTCCTGAGATCCCCAAGAGCCCTGTTGGGCAGTCATCCTCCTGAGTTCCTAATGCTCTGGGCCAACTCTGTCCCAGGTGAGCGGTGCCCAGCTTCACAGCAAGAAGGACTCAAGCTAGAACACAGTAGTGACCCATCAACCAATGTGACTGGTGAGTGCAGCCTCCACCAGCCTTTACCCACTTCCTGGAGTAGCCTGTGCTTCTCCTCACTTGCTTTTCCTCTGGTGTCCCAAAGGTTTCAATCTAATCCGCCGACTGAACCTCATGAAGACAACTGCCATAAAGAAGATCCGAAACCCCAAAGGACCACTCATCTTGCGGCTGGGGGCTGTCCCACTGACCCAACCGACTCGGTAAAGGACTCTGGGAGGCCACTGGAGTTCATACTGACCTCAGCCACATCCCCTGCAACTCTAGATGTGTGACTCTAGCCAAGGGCCTCTCTAGACGCTGTTTTGGGCACTCCCCTGCCAAAAGTCTACCTATTGTCCACCGCTGGACTTGCAGCGTGGATTTTGTGTATGTGGTGCCTGGGACACCTGGCTCTCGCAGGCAATGGCAGGACCATGTTTAAATCCCACGGTCACTATGAGAACCCCAGGGTGGTGTCAAGAGCCTGTGTCTACGTGAGTGTCACCTTGTGTGAAGCCCAGCTTGCAGCAGCCCCTGGGCAGTCTGGCTCCTGCCAATGTCTCTTTGTAGCTGAGTTCATGTAGAACCCTCGGTCTTTTTCTCAGCATTGTTCCCTCCACTCCAGGCCTGTACACCACGTTGGCTTCCTTGGGAGCCTCCTTGTCAAAGTTGGAATGTAATGCTGAGATAGAAAAACATTTATTTATTATGTGTATGTGTGTTAATGCCTGCATGTTATGGATGTGCACCACATGCATGCAGTGCCTGCAGAGGCCAGAAGGGGGCATTAGACCTCCTGAGACCTCAGTTACAGATGGTCCGAGATGCTCTGTGGGTGCTGGGAATCAAACCCTGATTTTTCTGGAAGAGCAGCCAATACTCTTAATCACTGAGCTATCTTTCCAATCATCTGAGATCATAATTCAAGGATTCTGGTAATGCTTCTCTGTTCCATCAGACCCCGTGAGACTTCATGGGGATAAGCTCTTCCATATTTCACCCATGGCTATCCTAGCACCCAGCCAACCCTTAGCACCCAGAAGGTGCTCGGTGAATATGTTAGGATGAACATGTGTATGTTTTGGGAGGTGTGAGCTATGCTTGTCTCCGGCAGGCTCATCAGTTCTCAGTGTGCCTTCTCTTCACCACTGCAGACGAGTGTTCCCTCGGGGCCTCCCAGAGGAATTTGCCCTGGTCCTGACAGTCCTTCTGAAGAAGCACACCTACCGGAACACATGGTACTTGTTCCAAGTGACTGATGCAAATGGGTACCCACAGGTGAGTCCACTCCTTCCCTCCCCTAGTCCTCAGGCAATGGTTGTATTAGTCCAACTCAGCTTCTATTCAAACTGGTTTCTGGGCTTCTCTGCTCCATCAAGAGAAGCGCCTGACACATGCTATTAGGATGCTCTCAGAGGAGCTGGCTGACCCAGCTAGCTTTCTCTCCTCCTCTGAGATGAGCTTGAGGCCCCAACTTTGCCAAGCTATGACTCTAGAGCTCTGATTCTCTGTCCTTTCTCTTTCCCAATTTGTCACAGATCTCCTTGGAAGTCAACAGCCAGGAGCGGAGTCTAGAGCTCCGGGCACAGGGCCAAGATGGTGACTTTGTGTCCTGCATTTTCCCAGTGCCCCAGCTCTTCGATCTGCGTTGGCACAAGCTGATGCTGAGCGTGGCAGGCCGTGTGGCCTCTGTACACGTGGACTGCGTCTCAGCCTCCTCCCAGCCTCTGGGGCCCCGGCAATCCATCCAGCCTGGGGGACATGTATTTCTGGGCTTGGATGCTGAGCAGGGCAAGCCAGTTTCAGTGAGTACTGGGTCCTGGTTTCTGCTCCCACCTCTCAGGGAGCCTTGCACTCCTGAGGGTGTGTTTCAGAGCCCAGGTTTGGAGCCATTGCCTTACCTATGTGGCCTAACCAAGCTAAGCTGACATTCCAGGCCCTCCACCATCTGGGTTCATCTCTCTATTGAGTCTGATCCATGCTAGTCTGATCCTACTAAATTTGCATATTTGCTCACGCTTCTCCCTTTACCTGCAATGCTTTTCCTTGTATATTCATTTACAGGTTGGGCCCAGTTTGAATGGAGCCCATCTTCCTGCCAGCCTCCTCTGTGTTCTTCTGGGAATATAGTCTATCTGCCTGCCTGTCTCTCTCTCTCTCTCTCTCTCTCTCTCTCTCTCTCTCTCTCTCTCTCCCCATTCCTTTCCCCCCCTCCTCTCTCTGCTTTTGGCAACAGCTCTATTCTTGATGGCCTCCCCCGACCAGCCTGGAAAGACCCTAAAGTCAAATCCTGGGGCAAAGACGTCTTTGAGCTTCTTTGGGGACCGTGGAAGAGCTATTTGATCATCTGAAATAAGATGAACTTCTGTGTTCCCTGCAGTTTGACCTTCAGCAGGCGCACATCTACTGTGACCCTGAGCTGGTGCTGGAGGAAGGCTGCTGTGAGATCTTACCGGGAGGGGTGAGTAGCCGGCTCGAGCTGTGCTGGAGAGGAGGCAGCCTGCACAGGGATGGCAAAGGTCTAAGGATGCATCTGCCTCTGTACTCACCCTGGCTGCCTTCCTCCCATATTGAGCAGTGTCCCCCAGAGACCTCCAAGTCGCGCCGGGACACCCAGAGTAATGAGCTCATTGAGATCAATCCTCAGACAGAGGGCAAGGTCTACACCCGCTGCTTCTGCTTGGAGGAACCTCAGAGCAGCAAGGTGGGTGAGCAGGGGAGACACAGGGGAGACTGTTCCACCCCTAACCTGGCTGAGGCCTGCCACCAGGTTCAGCTGACCATGGGCCTAGGCTGGGGAAGTCCCTCAAATGTGGGCTCAATGTAGATCTTACCTTATGAAACTCAGGGAGGCAGAGAGTGAACCCATGGGGTAACCCTGTGCCTGCTACTTGTTGGCACGAGCATTGTGCTGCTCTACTTCCGACTCTAGCTAGACCATCCTGTGGAGGGCAGGACCCCATTTGCAGTTTCTCCTATACAGGGATATCTGGGCCCAGAGGCCAGGCTGTACTGGACTCTGGGCTCTCTCAAGTTCCCAGCACCATGGCCAGCTGCCCTGTCCACTCTCAGGTTCTTTGGAGATGGCAGGGGAACCCCTTCCTTCCCTCAGCCCCACCCTCAGACTGGGCAGTGTCCCTGCCTACCCAGGCACCATGCCCAGCCTTTGGCTGCAGAAACACAAGATCCCATTGATTCAAAGCCTGTTTTCTACGACATCACAAGGGAGGGGGAAGGGGTGCCCGTGGGGGCAGCCTCGGTGGCTTGAGCAAACCCTTGATGATCTGGGAGGTGCCAGATGCCAAACTGAGGGGGTACCTGGCATCCATGTGCTCTGCCTGGATGCGCCATTCCAGCACAGACCCTAGAACTATCCCTCTGTCTGCCCAGGTGGACACACAGCTGGTGGGAAGAAGCAGCCAGAAGGCAGAACGGGGGACAAAGGTAGAGATGGTGGCTGAGGGGGTGAGCCCACGGTGCCCTCTGTCTGCCCTGCATTCCCTCTATAAAACCCTTGGAAAAGATGCTGTACTCCCACTCTCTTCCTGTCTGGACAGAGCTCAGCTGCGTGCTGCCAGCTCTGAGAAGGGAAGACAGACTGGGCGGACACATACTGGGCATTCTCTAGAGAGCTGGCTCCTGCCTGCTCTCGTACAGGGGCTTGTAGTGATGTTTAGTCCCAGGTTCCTCTCCCACTCCCATGCCTCCTTTTTCTCAGGCCCACCAGGAGACTGGAGTCAATGAGGTGAGCCTTTTCTCTGGGCTGGACTCTTGGACTCTGGGGAGGGAGGTGTCAGCACGTATTCTCTGGATAAAGGTTTGAGGCATAGAGCCTAAGGTGTGGGGGTGATGGATAACTGAAGCACCCAACATTCCTGAGGGCCCTAGATTGCCTTGATTGCCCTAGATTGTAGAGTGGAAGTCCAGGAAGCCATTCCTGCTGAGTTGGAGGCCAGTGCCCATGGGCATCATGGGAAAAATCTAAGTCTTAGCTGTGAAACCCTTCTTTGCTGACATACATACTGTGTGGCCTTGGGCTGGTTACTGTTTTACTGTTTCTGTCTCGGCTTTCTTTTGTTCTTTTTGAAGAGGTGCTGTTTGGGCCTTGAGGTGTGCGTGTGTGTGTGTGTGTGTGTGTGTGTGTGTGTGTGTGTGTGTGTTATGGGCAGGGCTAATTTCAGAGGCTCAGAATTGACCTGCGGGCCTGTTCTTCCTTTTCAGTGCCCACCCTGTGCCCACAGTGCCCGGGAGAGCAATGTGAGTCAATGAAGGAGCATAGCCAGTCTGGGAGTGGGTGTTGCCTGGAGTGGACTGGAGCTTCCTGGTAGAGGACAAGGGGGGCTTTGTTCAATTTCCCATCACTCCCCTGCCTGATTCCCATAGCTAGGCTTGTCCCCACCCATAAGCCCACCAAGCCAGGGCTGACTTACCCTGGCTCTGAAATCTCAATGGAGTGTTGTGATCCAGGGTGGTAGCCTGCTTAGGGGATGGGGTGGGGCAGAGAACAGGACCTTGGTTGCTGATTTCAGCTGTGCAGTTGCCTCTGGGTTTTGGACCCACTTTGATCGGAAGGTACCATATGCCACCTTGGAGACTTAAAGCAGGGGAGGAACATCCCAGTGCTCCTGGAGCTCAGAGCCTGGGCACACAGCTCAGAGCCTGGGCATTCTCCTCTCCCCCTCCTCGAAAACTAGCCTAGCCCAGCCTTCCCACTGGGAGTTGGAAGAACAGGGCTCAGGGCCCATGTGAGCCGTTTGGTACCATTATGCCCCTTCCATAGGCAGGGAGAGTTACTGTGTTTTGAGCATCCATTTGCAAAGGGCATGAACCCCTTAATTCTGGGGGGAATTTGAAGTACCCACACTTCTTCCTGCCTGCCTGCCTCTCTTTCTACCCAGTTTCCCATCAAATCCCACATGCGCTGGGGTTGCCATGGCAACTGAGTGACCATGTTAGCCTAACAATTTGAGGTGGGGCTGGCCAAAAGCAGGCAGGTTGGGGAAAGTAGACCCCTATGTTGGCTTTTATAGCCTTGAAAAAAATAATCAGCATGCTAATTGACCTAGGAGGCAGAACTGGCGTTGGGACTCAGGTCCTGCTGTCATCCTGTGTGAACCTGGCTGACTTGCTTACTCTCTCTGGGCTGCTGGTTGCTCCCTGAAGTTCAATATTCTCTTCCTTCTTCTGTTCCCTTAGGTCACACTCAGTCCCTCTGGCCTCAAGGTAAGACCTAGAAGTGAACAGGACTCCCCTATCTTCCTTGTTCCTTCCTACTTCATGTGGCTCAGTAGCCTTGTGTTTATAGCAGGACTACCCCAGTGTGCTTAAGCATGTGTTGGCATGAGTGGGTTGTGTGTATAGAGTCCAGAACAACCCTCTGTTGAGGCCCTCTGTGTAGCAGGCCCTGTGCTCTGTGTGCACAATACCCATACTAGGAGGCAAGTGCTCCCCTTTGGCATCAGGGGGGACTGAAGGCTCACTGTGTCAGTCATAGGTCAGAGGGATTGTGTGTGAACGTGCCTGTATGTTCTGGAACACATGTCTCCGCCCATGTGGCCACAGGCTGAACCCGTATATACCTGTGGGCCTAGTGGGCCTCAAGCCTGGCTCATGCAGGCAGATGCTGCACTTCCTTCGCCGGCTGTGAACAATGGGCTCTGCTCATCGTATTGCCTGCAGCACTCCCATCTTTTTGACTCATGCCTGGAGACAGGTGTTGCATCAATTCTATTTTATTGATGGAGAATCTGAGTCTCAGGGAGGTGACCTGCCTCTGCCTCGAGTCCTGTGCTAGCAAGCACGGGGCTTGAGCTCAGGAAACTTGACAATTAGCTGTCATGGGTTTATGTCATCCTGCATGTCTATGTAACGTGTTCACGTGCTGAGGATATGCTGTTGTGTTTGCTAATGTGCATGCCTGTGGGTGTGGGGGAAGGGACACTCCCTGTGTGAAACTGTAGGTTTGCCAAACTGCCTTTTGGTGTATTTGGAACCCATGTACTGCGTGTAATGAGTGCATGGTGTGGGGAGTAGGAGGAGGGTATGTGTGTGTGCTTGTGTGTGTGTGTTTGTTCGTTTGCATAGTAGATGAGTGGAAGCAATGGGGGACACTTTTGGGGGGCTTCCTTTTGGCACAACCCTCATTCTGGTTTTACCCACAGGGAGGGAAAGGTGAACGAGGCCTGACTGGACCATCAGGCCCCAAGGGAGAGAAGGGAGCACGGGTAAGTGCCCTAACCAAGTCCACATCAGGGCCCCTCCCACCTAGCCAGGGCTTGATGGAATGTAAGCTAGCACCCCTTCTTCTCAGTGGGAAGCCTGCCCACATGGGCATTTGGACAGGGTTCTCTAGGGGCTCATGTGCAGGCTTCTATTCTAGGGGGTCCTGGGCCTTTCCTAGCAACAGGTTTGTGTTGACACCCCCAGAAGGTCTGAGCCTTGACCCCTGTTCCTTCCTCATAGGGCAATGACTGTGTTCGAGTCTCCCCAGATGCTCCACTTCAGGTAAGATTGACGGGAAGGTGAGGCCTGTTTCAGAGCTGAGGCTAGACCATTCTGGCCACTTAACCCCTCGTCTCCTTTGTCAGTGTGCAGAAGGCCCGAAAGGAGAAAAGGGAGAATCGGGGGACTTGGTAAGCCGGGGACCCGCCACGGTCAGGATGGACCCTGGGCTTAGCCTCATCACTCATTTGTACTCCCTCCTCATCTTAGGGACCCTCAGGACTCCCAGGATCAACAGGCCAGAAGGTAATAGGCTTATGTTTGGAGGGGTAGGTGCCTGGATGGACCACAGGCCCTACATTCAAGAGGAGGGGCGTGTCTAAGGTCTTCCTAGAGGACGGTGACCGTTGGCAGGATTGACTGCCCCTTCCCCATCCCTTCTAGCCTTCTGTCCAGTCCAAACACCCACCACATCTAGACAGGAAAGCCTGCATGCTTGAATGAGTGGTCTGGCTGGTTTGGAAGTCCTTTCTGTTGTCTGCCCTCCTGTGGGAGGCATTCCTTTTTAGAAGAGGCAGAGTCAGGGAGGGGGACTCTGGAAGGCACTTGCCCCTCCCCTGACAGGAACTGTCCTGCTTCTTTTCCTCAGCCTGCTCTCCTGTCTCTTCCTTCTCCAGGGTCAGAAGGGGGAGAAGGGTGACGGAGGCCTCAAAGGACTGCCAGGAAAGCCTGGACGAGACGTATGTGACTGGGAACCCTCTCCCTAAGCCTCAGAGTGCTAGACTCGAACTCAGAGATCCAGCTTCATCCTCCTGGCCAAGGAAGAGAGGCGCTATATGTCCCAGTTGAATTGGGAACAGGTTCCACTCTGAGTAGTAGGGACACTGCCCAGGTGCTGGGCCTGCCTGAGCTGATCTCAGGTGACATTTATTACTGTGGAAGGTTTGTGATCAGATCAAGAGCCTGCCTGGAAGGTTAGCCAGATCCAGGCATAGCAAAGCGGGTACAGATACTGAACTCGGGCCTTTGGCATTTGCTGGCCTCAGGGCACCAGGTTGGGGTCTGGCATTGGGGGAGGGAAGGTGATGGGGGGTACAGGTGGGTAATTACCCTCCTGTCTCAGTGGGGCAGGTGCCAGGATCCTGCTTGTCCCTACCTCAACCCTCTTTTCCACAGGGTCGGCCTGGAGAGATCTGTGTCATTGGGCCCAAAGGGCAGAAAGTGAGTTGCAGGCCTGGGTGTGGGAAGGGACGGGCAGTAGGGCTAAGATAGTGCCTCTCAAACTCACTTACTTGTGCATGTGCTATAGGGAGACCCTGGCTTTGTTGGGCCTGAGGGACTGGCAGGAGAGCCTGGGCCCCCTGGCCTCCCCGGACCACCTGGGATAGGACTGCCTGGGACTCCTGTAAGTGTCCCCTCACCTGGCCTTCCATCCCCTCCTGAGACCTTTGTCCCCAGGGTGGGGCTGAGTTGGGGATAAGACCCAGTGCCACGAGTGTGGATTGAAGGGTGGCTTAAGACAAAATTGATCTCCATGCTGTAGAGAGGAAACTTGTATCACCCCATTTCTGCCATCAGGGAGATCCAGGTGGCCCACCAGGACCTAAGGGAGAAAAGGTAGGCACAGGGTTGTTGTGGACACAGCGGGGAGGGGTGTGTGATTGTGCAGCAGTGTGTGTGTCAGGTGACCAGGAGTTGTGCTGAAAGAGGCTCAGTTCAGTTAGGGTGTATGGGGTGGGAGGGTTGTCTTTACTCCAGTTCTAGCTGGGGTGGGGGCCTTGGCCTTGGTGAGCAGCCAGTACTGGAACTGTCTGTCTGTCTGTCTGTCTGTCTGTCACCTCCTCCTTGTTGTACTAGGGAGGGGTAATCAGAGCCCTTGTCATCTCTTATCTTTTTCTAGAGCTAGGCACACAGGAAGACAGGCAATAGGAAGAAAGGGTTTATCCATCCAGGGGTCCACACAGAGATGGGTGGCTCGGCTGAGGGTGCAGAACGGGGGCAGAGGCAGAAGTCACATCAGTGGGAACCTTCCCTTTAACCCTTCTGATTACAGGGCAGCTCTGGAATACCAGGAAAGGAAGGCCCAGGAGGGAAGCCGGTGAGTGACCGCAAGCCTGCCATGCCCAGATCTGCTCTTCCAGAGCCTCCAAGAGAAAGGGCTTGGGTCCTTAGCTCCTTCCAGGCATGACAATATACCAAAATACCAATACCTGTCCTCAGCATTAATGCCTCCTCCTCCTCTTCTTCTTCTTCTTCTTCTTCTTCTTCTTCTTCTTCTTCTTCTTCTTCTTCTTCTTCTTCTTCTTCTTCTTCTTCTTCTTCTTC